TGGAGAAGAAAATAGCAAACCACTCCAGTATCTTTGCCAAGAAAACCCCAAAGGGGTCACGAAGAGTTGGACATGACTGAACAATGACCAAATAACAAAAATGTATCGGGCACTGTGCTAAGTACTTTACAGATATAATCTTATTTGATCTTCACAACAATCCTGGGAGGTACATGCTATTATAATCACCATTTTACAGGAAACTGAGGCAGCCAACGGTGAAGTAACTTGCCCAGGGTCACACGGCTAGTAAATGTCTGGGGCTGGATTTGAACTCAGGTCTTTCTGACTCCCAAGTCCCACACTATATCCACTGCCCCACCTCGCCGCCCTTGGTGGGACAACAACACAAGCTGGAGTCAGAAAATCTGGATTTAAGCACTGTTCTGTCACTTATCTGCCTCCTGTGTGACCTTAGGCAAGTCCCTTGGCCTCAGTTGCCTGATCTGTAAAATGAGGTGGATGGCGCAGATGGGTTCTAAAGTTCCTTTCAACTTTAGATATTATGATCCTATGAAGAGGATCCCAAAGATCCCTTTCTTCCAGATCCTCAAGGCCAAGGGACAGGAAGGTGGACAACAGAGAACAGTGGAAACACATGAAAAAGAGCCAGAAAAGTGTTCTCGACAATCAAGCCTACACTCAGCTCTCTGGGGGTATACAGAGTAGGGCTTAGGTCCCCCTGGAAGGAACCTCAGACAGCATCTAGTCCATGGGTGGGGAAGCTGCGACCTGGAGGCCACATGTGGCCTTCTAGGTCCTCGAGTGCAGCCTTTGGACTGAGTTCAAATCCTTTCAATAAGGGGATTTGTTCCATGAAGTTTGGATTCAGTCAAAGGGCCGCACTTGAGGACCTAGAGGGCCACATGTGGCCTCGAGGTCGCAGGTTCCCCACCCCTGGGCTAGTCCAACCCCCCATTTTACAGATGAGGAAACTGAGGCCCAAGTGGGTGTAACTACTTGCACAAGGTCAAACAGGTAGTAAGAAGTTGAAGAGTTTAGTCTAAAGCCCACTTCCCACCCAGGTCTTCTGAATATAGACTCAGAACTCTATTCCACTGCACCAACTGCTCCCTAAAGAGAAGACATGGTCTCCCTTAGGGACATGCCCCTGTCCCTAACACCCACTGCCCCTGTGGAACATGGAATGAGGAGCTTGGCCAGTCCTGCCCAAGCATCTCTGCTCAAGGAGCATAGTGGGCGCCCCCTGGTGGTTACTTGGAAGACTACATCCCGGGGTCATTTTCTCGCTCTCCGGCTTCCTGATCCCCACTCCCAAGAGACATTCTAACCAAGTGACTCAGACAGCTCTGGCCTCTCCCCTTCCTCCTCCTCTCCAGCCCTCCCCCCTCCCCACCCACCTCGTGGCTTCCAAGCCCTTGCCAGGTTAGCCTCCTCCTGAGTTCTGAGGGCTAAACAAGGCACTGTTCTCTACGCCCGGAATGTCACCGCCAGCCCCCATCTTCACCTGTTGAAATCCTACCCAGCCTTTCAGGACCCAGCTCAGATTCCACCTCCTCCAAGAAGCCTTCCTGATCCCTCCCATTTAGAACTGGTTTTTCCATAACTCAAACCCAGCCCAGAATTTTGTACTTATATTATTATAGTTCATCGCCTAACCAACCCCTGCCACTCTCATTAGTGGCGTACGGTGGAGAGAGCTCTAGATCTGGAATCTGAGTCAGTCCTGAGAACAAATCTTGTCTCTGCTACTTACTCCCACTTGACTTTGGTTGAGTCATTTCTCCAGGCCTGAGTTTCCTTTTCTGTAAAATGAAGCACTCAGACTAGCTGACCCCTATGGTCCCCTTCAGCTTCAAATACCTGGTCCGCAGAAATACTGCCTTCTCTCTATTTATGCATCCTTTCCCTTCTACTAGATCACATTCTAATTATCTTGGCAGCTGCCTTAGTGTTTTGCATAGAGTCAAAACTTAATAGATAATGAAGGAAGGAAGGAAGGATTGAAGAGCAAATCCCCAATCACCGCGACCAGGAAGCAGCC